TGTTATGGCACTTTACCCTTAACTGTCATCCAGCTGCATTTCTTCAAAGATAAATAGTCACTCCAACAAATTTCTACTTATCTTTCACTCATCATACTAACAATTATTTAGGAGGAGTGCCTGAAGCAATTAACTATGTGTAGTCTTGAGAAAAAAACTACTGAAAGCACATACAATAGTTGTTTCAAGTACTTGAATGTATGTCACACAGAAGGTCATCAAAATCTATTGCCCCAAAATACAGGACTTAGAGTAACAGAAAAGAAATACTATTAAATATCAAGAAAAAATTTCCTAGCAGTAAGAGTAGTTCAGCAGTGGAACTATATGTCATGATTGACTTTAATTCCAGTACTGTACTGACCAGGGAATTATTCATCTTAAATGGCCCCTTCTAGCTCTTATAATATTATGATCACCTAGGCAATCCCTGAATTTGTGACTACATACAATATAAACATCCATAACAACTAATATTATATTTCACAAATGAGTAACATGTAATATAAAATTTCACAAATGGATATAGCAAAGACAGTAAAGGTTTCATAAAAAATAGCTTGATAAAGTAAAATGATTAACGTGTTGTTTTTTTAAAATGATTGTGTAGTCGCAAGATAGTTTTGTCTTCAAAAACAAATGTGAATTGCAGTTTTATGCACTCTTTCATCTACAAGTTGGTATTTCATAATATTCCAAATCTTCACCTTTAGTGATTGTTGAGTCGTAACTGACAAAGAGCAGACAAGGTAAAACATGTTGGATATATTTGCACACCATGTGTCATGTATTTGCATGATAAAATCATCCTTTATTTCTGAAGAAATGCAGCACCTGATCGGAAATATTTGAGACATACAGGAATTAGCTTTCTTTGTGATCTAGGACAATATATATACCTATTTTTTTTAATAAAAGAAAATACTTAGGATGTACAGTATAACTGCTAAAACTTATTTCACACATTAAAAATAAAACTTGCAGCTCTCTATTTAGAGAGATTAAAGCCAGAGGGATTAGACGTGTCTCCTTAAAGGAGTTTCACAGTCAAACTCCCAATCAAAACCATACTCTTTCCAGACACTACTTCGAAAGGAGCAATGGCAGACCACACCAATGAGTGAACACTGACATTTGGGTTTCAAGCCAGGCACTCTTTTCAGATACCTGGGATTCTAATGCAAAGTCTTTTCTAAACTGTCACCAGAATTGAGATCAATATTCTACTATTCTTCATCTAAATTGCTGACCTGCTGAATCCAAGAGTCATTTTATTATCTCATTGTTCAAAGGTATGTTCTTTTTGAACATATCTGCTGAACGCACATCCTAACACAGAGATAAAAATACCAAGAGAATTCTAAGAAAAGTAATACAGCTGCAAGTTTTATTTTTAATGTGTGAAATAAGTTTTAGCAGTTATACTGTACATCCTAAGTATTTTCTTTTATTAAAAAAAATAGGTATATATATTGTCCTAGATCACAAAGAAAGCTAGTTCCTGTATGTCTCAAATATTTCCGATTAGGTGCTGCATTTCTTCAGAAATAAAGGCTGATTTTATCATGCAAATACATGACACATGGTGT